ATCCTGGGATTTATGAGCAAGTCGGCAATGATTTTTAACAGCCAGCAGAGCCGAGCTTGTACTCACAGACATGGTACTTAAGAGAGGTCGGGAGTGTAGTTGATTGACTGAAGACAGGTCCACATGCGAGTCCTCCTTTATACCCCGACAGATGCGCAGGCCGACCCAATGTGAAAAGAAACAGACAAAACACACCACTCTATTGGCTGGATCTCCTGCGAATCGCAATACGCTAGAATGTAAGTGCAGCTCACCTGACAGAGATCTGACACGCGGTTCTTTGTCAAATTGGCTGCGCGATTCGAAGCCAACAAATCTTCGTGGCTCGTATTCAATTAGCTTCCACAGCACCGGCAGCCGCCCCACTCCCCATTCTCTCGCTTCCACTCCGAACGAACTCTCGATAGCGCTGCACCCCTGCGCACCGTCACGGTCATTCGATCGAACATCCAGCAAATCCTGCGGTTCATCGTCCTCCGATGCCTCGTATTTCTTATGATTAATCTTGTCCAGTCACATCTAAGTTAGTCGTGTCGCTCCACAGCTGTTAGAGTAAAAAGAGGACCGTCCATCAGTATTCTGGGAAATTCACTCTCGCATAATTCGCATTGAAGGATAGGAAACTGTAGAGCATGAATTACATGATGGGATGTGGGATGTGAGATCAAGTAGGTCGATCGACATACCGCACCAGGTGTCCTGTGGAGTGTGGTATCAGTATCAAGCAAATATATACTTGCCATGCATTCGGTCATGCGTCCGCGTCCGTCGCACCCGAGATCAAGAGCCCCAGTTTTCTTGTACTAGATGCCGCTGTTGAGGCCTTTATTACGATCCAATCGTTGGTACTTTATACGCAACATGAAGAAGTGACCTTTGTGGAAATCGGATGTGGAGAGCAACTCCCCGGAGCCATTTCGATGTCTCGTCTTCACCCGACGACGCCGTCAGCCAAAGACCACTTAGTACGTTTATTGATGAGAGTACAGTGATATATGTGAGCTCCCGGTTACTAAGGGATTGTTTGTCGGGAACGTTCACAGAAATGGCCTCAGGTAGTACTCGTCAACAGGCAGGAGGGTATCAGAAGGCGTTACATTCTTGCATAATTGCTCCTTGGTGTCTCATCATGGCCGTTTCAACAGAGCTCTTCCGTATCGTCTGTGACTTTGACAGCCGCGTCGCGCCTTCACTAATTCCGTGTGGAGTTCGAGAATCGTCACAGGAATTCATATAAAAACTTGAAGTTTTAGTGGAGGTTCGAGGTATCCCAACGACTAAACCTCCGAACGCAGCTATCAACCTGCCAGAGGGATTGTTGATGTACAAAAACTTCGACATCAAAGGAAATGCACTGACACAGTCGTTTGTGACCTTTACCCGAGTATCCTGGTCTGAGATATTGAGAACGACAGACATCCACATCCAGATCAGGGAAACGATTTTCCATATATAACAATGGACCTCAACGCGGCTGAGATATATACCCAGTTGCCTTGTTGAAGGCATCAGGTCCCTTGAGAGACGGCATCTATCCAGACACATATAACTTGTCGCCTGTGCTCTGCCTCAATGGGTGTCGCAAAACTAGGGCAACGAGACAGCCTCTTCTTGCCTCCGTGGAGAGGAGCATATGTTCAGAGTAGCGCACGTAGACATAGAGGAAGGCACATTCCTACGCTCACCGGGGTCCCATAGATATCATATTCATGAGGTACCAATCCCAGGACACCCGCAATACACTGGCATGTGCTCTGACTGAGAGTTTCGCTTTCAAGCAAGTCTTCGGCAAGAAAGGATTCCAGAACTCTTGCATGGATTTTGGTCCCAGAAAGCGCATATAAAAGTAATGCTTGCAGGCTAGCACCATGGCTACTTCATGAGCGATGCTTGTTGTCCTTGACCAGAAGGATCTACTAACTTGCGGCAACTCCAGAAAAGTAAATTTCATGAATTCCGACTCTTCCCAGGACTTCGAGAGAAGTAGACCCCAGCTCACTTGTTCAGTTACGTTTGACTCTTTGATTCCACACTCGTAGAATGCTGGACGTGACCGAGGTAAATTGCACCAGGTTTCAGAACAAGATAAGAGCGACGATACTTTTGTTGACGACGCAAAGTCACAACGAAAGACACAGCTTGTGCAGAAGAGAGGACGATGGGCCACTTCCAAAGACTACAAAATGATAACTCGGAAGGTGTATAAAGTTATGTAACTCGCGGCGGTTCACCTCAGCCTGAGCTGAGCCTCGCTCAAGGGAGTCAAGGTTAAACAGAAACATATCTTGTCCATACTATTCGCCAGTACAGTTCGCGTTCTCAAATCAATCGGACCTCTTATCTCGGGCCTCTGTCATGCGAATCACCCCCATATCACTGAACCGCAGCAAGACTCGCAGCAGGCGCAGCATCTGCGGCTAGCCGCCGGAGACAGTGGCAGCGAGCTGCGCCTTTCTTTTATCTCCGTAAGCCGCACTGACAGTCTGTGCTACCACCATGATTATTGCGGACGATACCCCCAGCTCACCTGCAAAGGCGCAACAGCCCCTCTCGGCTCAACGTGGTAGCGAAGGCATGCCCCCACCCCCCGCATATTCTGGTCCGAGCACCAATTTTGCTCGCGATCCCCAGGGGTATTTTCCTCGTCCAAGCGAGGCACTACTTCCTCCAGTTTCATCTTCTACCGACGAGATCGAACCCGCGGGGAGGAGGTTCTTCAAGGCTTTTGGCGTCGCTTTCTTGATCTATCTCCTCCTTGGGCTGTTCACGCGGAGCACAATTGAGGTCGCCTACTGGGGTCGAGGAAGGGTACGCACCGGCTGTTCTGTGCCAAGGCACTTATCGAGGCCGATTTTATCATAGTTGGCTCGCATTGATCTCAGTTTCCAGATCAACCACGACGAATTTGGGTGGCCGCTCCATACTGATGGCAAGGTCGTCCGCTGCGTCAAGGGTATTTCGGATTGGAATCGGGTGCAGTTTGAAGAGTCGTCGACAGCATCGTTCGAACTACCTCTCTCTGCGGATGTCTTGTATCTGTTCGCTCGAGGATCGCTATCTTCCGGAAGCGTCACGTATGTGCAGGATACAGACTGGGAAAATAATGGCACAGTCCGAGTTGATGTAGCAGCCAAGTATGGTACGAGAGCTGTACTGGATAGAGTCAGTGTGTGCCAGCTGGAGAGGCAAGAGGGACACTCGGGCATTGGCATTCTGGTGCGCTCGGCTCGTGTATGCTATGTTTTTGCCGCTCATCGAGCATTGTCAGTCTCCGCTCAATTGGCATACATCACCCTTCGAACGGTTTGTGTTTGACGTGACAGTATACTTTCCCATCTCGCCGCACATATCTCCGCTTCGCATAGAAGCGTTTGAGACTAAGCTTCCTTCGTTCTCGCAGAGGGTGGGAGATCTGCACGGAGAAGTGGTTTTCGGTACGCTCTCCCTGCAGTCCAGCAACTCGCACATTAGTGCGGAGGTTAGTATCGCTGTTGTGCAAGTTGCGGCATAAGCCTGACTTTTGTCTACCATTAGTCGGTGTATGCGGACCGCGCGATGATACGTTCCTCCAATAGTGCTATCAAGGGGACATTCCATGCGTCAGAATCTCTCTCTCTTGTGACATCCAATGCACAGATCATAGCAAACATCACCCTTGGTCATAACGGCGCCAACAGCGCTAGCACTCAATTAACAATGAGAACGTCTAATGGGTAAGCGGCATGCTTTCCTGACCTTGCATCACCCTAACCTGCCTGTATTGCGTAGTGCCATCGAATCGGACGTGAACCTTATCTCAACATCCCCGTCCTACACAGGGGGATCGTTCAATGTCTCCGCGCGAACATCAAACAGCCACCTCACGCTGGATTTTCCACAGTCCGCACTCGACGCACACCTCGATGTTGACGCGAAAACGAGTAACGGACTCGCGACCGTGAGCCTGAACCGCGCGTTCGAGGGCCCGTTCGTGCTCCAGACGAGTAGTGCACGCCCCATAGTACAGTTCAACCAGCACGTGGAGGACCCGACAGACCTACACCGCAAGAGAGCACTCTCGTACTCAGAGAACACAGGCTTTGTGAAAGGTGAGGTGACCTGGTCCCGGCCCGGGTATCGCAATGGTGGCGTGAATGTGCGGACGTCGAATGCCCCCATCGTATTCAACTTATTGTAGATGGTGAACGGTGTGTTCATTCTCTTACTGCGTTGATTGTCGCTTATACAGCATACACCTTTAGCAGATTGCGATGGTGCTGGCACAATTTATATTCTGATTTATTCCATGTACAAATACGCTTTGCGTCGGCAGATGCTACATACATATACACTTTTTGATATCTGTTGCCTCTGAGTCTGCTATTTTCAACCGTCTATCAAGTCTTCCATCTTTGTTGCATTGCCGCCATATAGCTGCTGATGAGGTCCAAGAATATTGGCAATGGCGGTGTATTGATATGCATCTTGCTCAGGTTACAATAGATCTACGCACAACCTCTCTAGGGGGTCGTCATTTATGTGAGACCTACGTGAGACTAGTTGCAGTCAAACTTGGTGATGCTACACCCGCATTCCGTAGTTAGTACTTTAAACACGAGGATGTATCAGATTGTATCGTCCATCGCCGAATCGTTGCTTGTGTAGATTAAACCCTCTGATGCGAAGTACCTGAAGCATGCAGCACGGTGTACTATAATTATAAAACTACTACAGTACAAAATGTTTCAATACATTGTTGATGCATCATTATACGCTTATGTAATTCGCGCAAGCCTGGCCGAAGCCAGATAGTGCCCAGACATACTCACCTTATGCACTCATGCCTCGAATGACCGGTTTCCAGGATTCCTTGTGAGCGTCGTATAATAACTTTACTGTCCGTGGATCTCTAGTTGTTATAATGACTCTACTCAACCCAACTTCTACAGCGTTATTGTGCTCGATTCCTCGTACGCACATCACCTGGACTTGTAGAAGGATGATCTCGCGCTTCGGCAAATCGTTTCTATTCATCGTAGTTTTTCTCGTACGCTCGTCTCCTAGGGGCTCTTGTGTCGTAAGCTTTGACCGACGGCTATGATAGTTCCTGCTTGGTTCTATTGCACTACTACACCCTCCGTCACGTTCGTACATCGATCCGTGGACTGGAGACCTCTTCGGAGAAGGCGGAGTCGAGAAAGGGCTCCATGTTCAACCAGCTCTCAGCGAAAGCACTGTACATGGGGATGTAATTATGTCGAAACTAGGGAATGCAACGGCCAAGTGAGTCCTCAGCACCCTGCGCTGTGAGTCTTATGTTCACTGATATTTCACAAGAGCTGAGCTGGGGAGGGCGACATGGAAGCTTTTGTAAGCCCATTATTCAGCCCGCTTGACATTTTGAGCGGTTTTCTTACGGATGCATGAAGGCACACGATGACTTTGCGGTTCCCCGAGACGCCAACGCAGGACGAGAGGGATGCGCTCAACAATTATTTCCACCTTATGTCCCGTCTATACCCTTGCGGAGAGTGTGCGGCTGAATTCCAGCTACTACTTAAGAAATTTCCACCACAGGTGAGTGCTCCATACTTTAATACATAAAGCTTTCACCCATTCCATGCAGACTTCCTCTCGCAGAGCAGCGGCAACTTGGTGAGACGCTCGCGTTTCCTCGTCCGAACGCCCATGTATTGAAAATTCCTTTTTTTGTCTTCGTAGGCTGTGTGTCGTGCACAACCAAGTGAACGAACGCCTGCATAAGCCGGAATTCGACTGTGCCCACCTCGACGAGACGTACGATTGTGGGTGTGGAGACGAGCCTCCTGCCGAGCTGTCTGACCTTGCTGATCCGAGAGATATAATGGATTTGGAACGCGACTATAGTACTGACGAGCTCACGGGCGTGGGGATGATCAAGGGAGGCAGGTAGTGCCAGCCGCCTCGATACATGCCCACGGTATTTAAAAGTCTTACGCACTGTAACAACAGTGCCTGCTTGTGACTTGACTTTCAGGTTGTTATTGAATCTGTTTGTTCCCTTGCAGCTGCCAGCTTTTCAGTGCATCGGCAATGATGTGATACCACGCAGGCAACAACCGTATTGTCAATCTCTTCGGGTTGCAAGCAGCTTTCATTGATGAGAACATTCAGATCGCGCGCAGGTTCGCATGCGGTAACGTTTGCAATGAATGGGATCTCCCCACCGCTCAAGGACGGAGGTCCACAATTTGATCATGAGCTTACATACGGCCTAAGTCGATGTCTTCCGCTACGATTACAGTTTGGCCGTTGACAAAGGATTCTCACTCGCGTCGATCCTTCATTTGGATAGGCATTGATTCAGTATACTATTGAGTGACCAAACAGTGCTGAAAATGACCAAAGTGAAAATCTGACACCATCAAGCTTAATCATAGTTCCAAGAGGATAATTGATAGCTAATACATATGCAGTCAGTGTGTTGCATATAAAGAGGTATGTGAATGCTCTCACACATATTGGAAACACTTGTGAAGCTGGAATAGCGCAGTAGTAACTAGTAAGAACACAAACAGATAAAGTATTTCGTTTGTTCCTACCTTACCAAGACATGCTTAAGTACAATCAGTCCACAACCCAAGTCACATTCGGTACAATTCCCTGGCTGCTGGGAGCAAATACATCGAACGCAGATTCCGAAAGGCCAACCCGATTGTACGGGGTGCTGACGTAGTAGTCCACAATCTGGGCGACCACGGAAGTACCATTGTCTGTAAATTCAATGTCAACAGTGTTGACCATACAACATGGGAGTAACATACAGGTGACAGTCAGATTGTGGTGACATATGGGATTGCTGGAAAAATAAACGATGAGCGCACCGCCTGCAGTTGGGCATTCACAGAATGCCATACTCATTCGGATTGTATGTAGCGCCCCTGTATACTGCAGTCAGTATATCGTCATCAAACGAACACAGTGGCTACTCACGGATAATTGTTGAAAACCTCTTCAGAAACTGATGCAACGGATTGGTCGGTAGTGTTGGTGAAGCCACACGCCCCCACGCCGGGAGTAAACCAAAACACTAAGGAGGTCTGTCGTCACGTCGTTCGCAACCGAAGAGATATATCACCTACATGTTCCCGTGCCAGTTTGCGCCTTCGCAACGCCCAAGAACAGGGCCAGAAGGGCGACAGACGACTTGCTGAAGACGCACATAATCGAGTGGGAGGTGAGTAGAAGGGGGTCTCGCAACCTAAGGTAAAGGTCTCTCTGGAAATCTTATATACGATGCTCGGAGACCAATTAATCGCCCATCGAGCATGGGGTTCAATCTGATCCCTTTCGTACCTTTTCCATGCAAAGCAGATGTCGTAGAGAAGCGCTAGGGTAAGACGTTCAATGACTCCAGATGCCATTTCACCAGACTCCACCGTCTCAGACGCCCCGAGACTGTCCACTTGGACATGCCCATGAACCAAGTCGACGCCCAGTCCAGCAACTCATCAGCTTCTCCAAGGGAGGCATCATCGGGTCAATGGACATGAGGTGATCGCATACAGCCTTTTTTGAACCAATGGACGCACATCGGCCTCAGAATCCCGCAAAGCGCTACATAGGATGATTCTTCGATGCAAAAAAGATGAACTTTCTTGCACAAGGCCCGCACAGACAGTACGCAGAACTTCTTGACCACATGCACCACGCCCGTATGACCCATTGTTCGATCCAAAAAATCGAAGTTCACTGATGGATGACGAGTGTGACCATAATCGAAGCAAGATGTAACGTCAGTGTAGGCAAGATTCGGCGTTTGTTGAGACATTGGGGGACCTTATGGATATACCTCCGCTTCTTCAACGTCATGAAGGAGCATAATAAGGCGCATGACAAAAATGGAACCGCCTTTGTCGACGAAAATATTGATCAAGATGATCACCTGGTCATGGAAACATTAGATTGCAAGAATTTTCGTCTACGCAGTCACAGCGTCGACCTACTGAATATATGATCAGCACAGAACAGGGCGTCCGCTTCAAAAACCTGTCTTATGAGCACATATATCATACTTACTCGACACGGCGTTGGGATGGACAAGATCACAAATGAATTTACCACTGTACAATGAATTAGTATTTCTAACTTGCGGCCCAGACTCATCAGTCATCCTCATCCCAATTTCCTGCTTGCTGTGGTATCTTCGGTCCACCAGCAGGCTTGGACATAATAATGCTGTCCACGCTCAGCACAGAGACCGCGGCTTCAGTTGCAAGCTGGATTGCCCACGACTTCGCCGCCAGGGAATCAAGGATGCCGTGCTCTGGCGCGTTCAGGGTTCCATCTGTCTCCTCCTGTGTACACATGATCAGAAACGCGATCCGAATAACATCTAAAGTCAAATAATGAAGCGACGTACTTCAACATCCACACCCCATGCCTCGCCACCAGGCCCCTCGTGCTTCGCCCACAAGCGGCTCACGATTTCGTTGCCCTCAGCGCCGCCCAGAGCGTTCTCAGCAATTGTCCTAGGAACCACTTCCAATGCACTGGCCCATCGACGCACCGCATGTTGTGCGAGGCCCTTTAGTCCCGCACCATATGTCTCCACACGTCGTGCCAATTCCAGCTCTGTCGCTCCCGCGCCGGGCACCAATCGTGGGTCCTTCAATAGCGCCTTGATTACATTAACGCCGTCGTCCACTGCACGCTCGAGGTCGTCCAGTCGGTTTGTGGTTGCTCCACGTAATACGATAGTCGACGTCCGCGTCTTCTCAGTGGCTGCGCCAGGTGCAGAGTCGAACTCTGGGTCACCCTCGACGAGCTGTCGGAGGACAGTGACGCGATCCCCTCCAATCTCGATACACTCGAAAACGTCGACGAAGCCTGCCTCTTCCGCTGTGGGCGCACCCATACGTGCGAGTGGCGTTGCGTTCACGACGCGGCATAGACGACGGAGGTCGAATTTTGACATCACTTTCAGCACGGCGATGTTGAGGCGGTTGAGGTAGTGCATTGCGAGCTCGCCAATAGTTGATCCTGCTACGATCACCTTGACGCCAGAGTCCGCGATCTCTTGGAAAATCTAGATACCGACTAATGTCAGGGTGAGTGCACTTCAGCAGAATCTCGCAGACCTTTTCTAGTTGCTTTTCCTCTCCTCGCGTGAAGTTGAGCATCTCATCAGCATTCTTGAGTAGTACCGTGCCTTTTGTCTCTGTCTGTGCAATGTCTAACCCGCTCGTGAAGACCGCCACCTTCGCTTTCTTCACTTTTTTGACCATCCCTGTCAAAAGAAGGCACTGAGTCATACACACAAAATAGCTCAAATCACATACCTTCCGGTTCCCTGCCAAACACCATACCCCTTACCACTCTGCTTCCTGACAAGCTGCCACCCATGATCTTCACCACTCGCACGTTGTCCACGTTGAAGTTCTTCGGATTTGGTGGCATTACAGCCAGCGCGGCCTCTGCAACCAGCGATGCGAGAGTGTCCTCAACACCGTATTGTTTTGATGCAATGGCGGGCTTCAACGCAGCGGCGAGACCGGATTGCGTAAGTGGTGAGGGCAGTGAGGTTTTTGATAGATCTAGCAGGTCAATGTGAGCAAAATGCGTAAACCAGACCTTGATATAGACGAACTCTCGATCTCTTCGAGTGCTTTGGTACAAGCCAACTCGTATCCCTTCATAATTTCACTTGGATGCAGGCCCATAATCAGCAGGTGTTCTGCCTTTTTGAGAAGTTCACCGGCGAGGATGAGCACCATGTTTGTTGCATCGCCCATCTATCCAGACAGCAATGTCACTTCACAAATTGGCAACTAGCTTGAGCAGAACGTACCTCCGCCTCCTGCGCCTGCGACGCCATCACTAGCAGCTTCGCGGCAGGATGCACAACTTCGATCTCGCGAATAATGGTGGCAGCATCCGATGTTACGAATAACTTGCCCAGATGGTTGATGAGGAGCTTGTTTCTGCCTGACGAAGGAGTCGACATGACGGCTTGACCCAAATTGTTAGGCAAGGCTCAACGTACCATTTGGCCCGAAACTCGTGCGCACAAGGTCAGAAAGCTCTGCGACTGCCTGTATATTCCGCAAGACCGCATCTTCAAGGCCAGAGAGATGCTGCGAATTTTGGTTTCAATTAGCAAAGTTACAGTAAGACGATTTTTTACACCAACCTTGTAGCCGTCCTTGAAAAGCTGAAGATTGCTCGCCTTTGGTACTTTGAGAGACATATTGATGCGCTAGTCTCTTTCAAGATCGCAGCCTGGATGAAATACGCAGCCAACAAACGAGAAATCGCGACAGAGTATGCGCGCGCACCCTTCCCTTTCCAGTTTGGCAATTCGATCTCGACCATGTGACGCTCGCACCAGGCATGCCAGTGGCCACTGGCCGACTTTAACAGCCACCACCACCCTGGCCCTACTGCTGTCGCATTTTGTGCTTCGCCTTCACCCAGAAATCTTGCAATTGCGGACTAGAGTGCTTCCCCTGAGACATGCACCCATGTCTTCTCATTTCTGAGATTGTGGTCATAATCATCCAACACGCTTACATCCAGTCCGATCCAGATTCTTGTGCAGGGACGCGGACAATTAGTGCACTTTCGCGAGCATGTAGATCCTTTCTTGAACCTGCCTTAGATCGGTTGTGGAGGACTCAGTTAACGTTAGTCCCCCTCATCAAGACCCTACCTACCGACGCATGGACTGAATTTGAAGGCGACCTCGTGCGCCACGGCTCATCGTCGAGGCAGCGCATAGTGGTGAGCGACATTTTCAGCTGAGCTTGTTCAGTGAGTGACGTCATGGGGGCGATGCATAGAAGATAGTCCGGCAGCTCGCTTCAGGCGATTGGGATAGGTTTAACATGTACGCGCGTCGCATCAAGAGTCTTGGACATCCTACTCGAAAGATTGCTGTAACACGGGCAACGCATCCCTTGGATCCGAATGTCCTACACCTTCTAAGCGCATGTCGAGAAGATCTCTTGCTTCCCAACTTACACAGTCTTTGCTTGACCGTAGACGATATTGACCGGGGTTTCCTCCACCACAGCTCCCTTCTTGTTGGATCACCTTTGAAGCATTTCTCCCTGTCCTTTCTCAACGACATTCCCAAAGACACAGACTCTATGATATCCTCCATTCGGCATATTTGCGCAACTTGCGATCTGGAGGATTTCGAACTGATCAGCCTTTCCTTTCCCGGACGTGCTGCTCTCATTACAGATGTATTACGACCTCCAGCCTCATTCCGCAAATTCTGGGTATTCGACCTGTCTCATAGCCATGTCGTCCGGCTGGCTTCACTGCCGGAACTACGGGAAGTCAAGCTTGGCTTTAGATATGACAACAACCTGGATTTCCTCGCCAATGCATCTCTATCATCGTATTTCCCCTCCTTGCAGGTGCTCAATATCAGTGTGGCATCGCTTGCCATCTGTGGAGACCTACTGAGGATTATGGGCTCTGCCAACTTGCGAGATCTCTCAGTTATTCATAGCGGTCCTATAGCCTCGGACCCTAATAGTTTCCTTGAGTTCTTCACACTGTTGAACGAACACTGCTCGCATTCTTCTCTACAAGCAGTCACTATCCTGCAGTCAGGTGGCCCAGACGGCTCCCTCCGAAGTTATGCTGAGATCAGTGCCAGATCTCTCGCACCTATGTTTGTCTTTTCCAGACTCACCGACGTCTACGTAGACTGCTCGTGCACATACGATCTCAACAATGATTCACTTGCCCAAATGGCTCGAGCGTGGCCTAAACTTGAAGCACTCACTCTTGGTGTTGATCACGGATGGGAACAGCTTTCCAACATCACTTTTCATGGCCTCTCCCAGCTTGTCCGACTCTGTCCGAAACTGCACGCAATCGGAGTTGCTGTGAACGTTTCCGTAGATGATCTTCGCTTCGAAGACCCAGAGATAGCGCAGTCCTCTAATGGACGGGTTACTCGAATCGATTTGGGTGACTCTGCTATGGGGGAAGTCGATCCGGTAGCGAAAGCATTTGCGCATCTGTTCCCAAACTTGTGTTCCATTTGGATTCGGCGACCGGTGTGGCAGGAGGCATATACGCTCGAGCAGAACCGGCGAGGGGGCGATATCGCCAACGATTATTGGAACGCGGTTCAGAGACAGGTTCGAGCGTATGCCGACGCGGCAGCACAGGGGCCGTCATTCGACATGATCATATGATGGTGCCGTAAAGTCTCTTCAAATTGTAATACCACTGATTCGAATGCTATAGCATGAACGAGATTACGCTCCCCTAGATAATATTTGTATCTTTGGCGTGTTCTAGTGTGCCAATAGAAAGTTGAGTGGAGGTCAAATAAAGACACTGCGCCTGGAACTCGAGATGACATGTCTCGTGAGTGTGTGCGCTCGCCTCATTTATGTTAAGCTGTCCTTGTAGAAGCCGTCAAAGCTAGCGCCGATGAGTATTCAGAATGTCAGGTACTTTTCTATTACATCAAGCGTTCTAACTGCACTCATTGAACCTACTCATCCCTAGGCCGATTATATGAGTACGAATGACTCGACGGCATTGTGCGGACTGTATTTCTGGATTTATCCGGAAACCACACTGCAGGCTACTCTTTGTGATAATCCACTGTGAGCCGAACGTTCGTCCTTGTCAAAGGGTCGCTAATGTGTTCGTTGTCGTGTCATTGTGCCTGACGGCCGGTCCCGTGTCCTCGGGGGTAGCATCGTATCGAATTTGTATGCGACTGCTGCCAGTCTGTCATGAGGATATCTCAGCTGGCCGCATTAATGGCGCCTCGCGGGATTTCCTTGCATTGAAAATGGTCCGAGCTCATCATGCGCGTTCTAGCAGCCTTGATTCGAGAATCGATTATAGGGTACGATCCCTGAGTATGGAACCTTTGCTTGAGCTCATGCTCCTTGTCCATACATATCCAGATGTGCTCCTTGTAATCCACCCTTCGAGATACCCATAATTTGCACGAGCTAAAGCTACGTTCCAATTCTCTTATGCTACCAATTGGATACGTTAAGGCCCTATCATTCCTTAATCGGAGTCGGACCAAGCCGCCCTAAGACGAGATGATGGATCATGCTAGACTGGACGACACAAGGGTATGTTCCCACATTGGGCCTGAAGATGAGGAAGCGTCTGGGGATAAACATCGTGATCCGTTTGCGGATTGTTTTCCGGTCAGCCTTCTGTTGCCCACAGATAGCATGCTTGCTTCTCAAGCTGCTACAAGATGGGATAGGAACATCTCTGAACCTCTGGTGGCAGAATGGAACATGAGCAGTACATGGATCAACTCCACTACTGCGAACTTGTGGCTGAAATTATTTTACGATGTAGGGCACAACCGTGACGGTGAACATTCCGTCGGAACGAGGGCCGCCTTGGTGAGTCTTGGCAAGTGGTTGAGCATGAGTCTCGTGCAGGTGTTGTTCTCGTTTGGCAGTTGTCTGATCCTGCTTGCTCAACTAAGAAAACAAATGGATGAACATGTTAACTCACGATCGCCCCTTTTCTTGCGTGCATCATTTCCTGACAATAATCGGACATGTTTCATCTGTTGCGGCAGTGACCTGCATGCCCAGATGGTCTAGAAATTGCATCTGTCAAGCAGGTTGCTGTTTGCCCTTCAATTGACGAGCCTGGTACATGCCACCCGGCATCTGGATCCAATACGAGGTCAGCACCCCCATTCATTGGAATTAACTGTGCCTAAGCTGAGTGCACGGTGTAGAACTTTAGGACGTCTGGGCAGGGCACTGATATATCGGTGACACTCGAGCCACGCTTGGGGTACCGGCATTGTATCGGAGCCGTCCAACATCGTCCGCTTGGTGAGCAATGTACTTTTGCGGAAACCAGCTGGCCTCGTCTTGGTCGTAGAAATCCTTCATGAATATTGACCTAGTGTCTAGCCTGTACCGAGTCAAACGCCGTTCGAAGGTATATAATACCAGTCTCATCCCTCGTACTCGTAACTGGTGCTGAAGCCAGCTGTTGCATTGTCTTTTCAGGTCACAATGAAGCTCTACACATTTTCTCTCCCTTTCACCACTCTCGCGCTCACTTACTACGCTCTTGCTACTCCCAATTGCGGTCTACAAAGTAAGTTTTCTAACCCTATCTTCACTCGCTACCACCGACCATCGCCACAGAGCGCACCGCCTGCGAGGAAGGAGCCATCACCTTGACGTCCACCATCGCCGTCGGCGATAAGACCGTAACATGGGAGAAGCTAGCATGCCCGGGTTCAGTCTCAGCACGAGAGACCACTGATTGGGTGACGGACGTGTGCGATGGCATTTGTAAGTGCCACATTCCATGCTGAATCCGTGATTAGATGAGCAGGCTCCGTTTTCTTAGGCACTGATACATGCAACAATGAGTCAGGAGACCTGCCCCCTGAGCTCGATGATTGCGACACTATTATAGATGCTATAACGATTCTGAATGGTTCCATTGGTGCGACTTGCCCTTGTCACGTAGTCAAGCTATCATTCTGATCAGCGTCTAATGCACTCAGAGCCAACATTCACTGTAGATCCTGGGTCTGCTGAACAGCTTACTTACGGGACATGCCGCTTTTTCTTCGAAAATCTGAGCAACGACGTGCTGGAATATTGCTGGACCGCTTTGGTTCGTGACCCAAACCAGTTTTCGGGGACTTGGGCACTAACTATAAACCTGTGCTTTAGAGTAACGTGGCATCTGCTGCAGCGAGCACATGCTTCCCGCCTACCAACCCAATCTATTCGGAAGGAATCTGCGAGCCGTCCAGTGGCGCATGGCTTGTGGGGTAAGTAGCGTTATGTTGTCGAGGAGGCATACGGTGCTGAAACCTGCCAACCTCGATCTCAGCGCCGCCCATTCTTAAGGAATACGTCTGGGCTATCACTGAGAGAATTCTGGTATCGAGGCGATGGCACAATCTACTGTTATGGGATTTGCTTACCAATATGTGTTCAATTTGTATCATTTGCGTGGAAGGTCGCCCGGGTTGTGTACTATGCAATGCGTTAAGCGCACCAGCCTTTTATCATTGGGTTAGCGGCACATGCTCAAGAGGAACTGACGGCAAATCTTCTTCCTTCTTTTCCTTCGTCGTCTATTTCCTGGACTCTGTCCTTCCAGCGTAACGGTCAATACTACTCTGAGAGCTCAATCAATACAGTGAGCCGTAAATCACTCCAACTGCTTTAAGGTCCACTGGTCTTAGCACCAGTAAGGTTATCATACCAAACATAAAAAGTAATAGCATGTACACTGTAGCAGTAGTGAATAATCCTTATAGTAGGCATAATTTTGGTCTTGTGGACCCTAGACATGTCGAAGACACTGACACTTCCGAGGACGACACCAGTTTAAGCCAAGCTGAGCATCAAATCTACTGAAACACTAGTTGCACTGACAGTAGACGCATCCTACTTTCAACATCCTATGCTCTATCCGCGTTCATGAGCATTTCCAACTCCGGAAATATGTTTAAGTTGACACAACACGATGCATTTGTCCAAAGATACAAGCACAAGCACAGCTCGCCAGGTGAATGGCACGATTCTACGCAACCCTATGGTAAAACGAAGGCTGTTGAAACCCGTCGCAATCCATCACCACTTCAAATGCTCTACCATAGACGCGTCTCCAAGAGAAGATCGCTGCTTCCCTCGAGGCCAATGCAAGCCTTCAAGAACGCCTCGAGCGCGTTGCGCTGCCTGTTCAAGCTGTTGATAACGTCGGTGCCTGCAAGATGGGGTTAGTTGGCATTCACGCAAAGTCATAAGACCACACATACCAGGCTTGACGAGCGGAGCCTTGAGCATGTAGGATAGAAGAGACAGAACCGGGTACAAAGGCGCGAACTCGGTCTGCTGAGTGGAGGTGCTACGATACTTGACACGCGTCAACAACTCAGTCAAGATTGTTAAATCCAGAATGAGTGGCGTAGCCAAAAGCGAATCCTAGGCAAAAAGGTCAGCAACGGCAATGTCAATGACGGTCGCCACACTCACCTCGCACTCGTTGAAAATGTTGATAGTCGAGCGACCACCGCAGAAAATCTCCGAATAGTACTCATCGATGGCCCTCTTGGAATCCCCAACGGCAGGCACGTACTTGATGACGACGATGTGGTCTGGATGCTCGCCCTTTGCCGCCTTCGTACCCTTCGCCGCGCCCTCCTCCGCTGGCTTGTACAGTAACGCGTTAGCGTTCACCATGTCATCCACGACACTGCTCTTGCTGATCTCCTTGCTCTTGAACTGCGGCTCCGCGGAAAGATTGTGCCCATCATTATTCCCGAGATGGTTATACGACGCGATCGACAGCGGCTTAATACCCGCGTTCACGAGGAACTCGGCGAACACGGACTTCAACTTCGTCTGGCCGGACTTGAGGTCGTCACCACCGATGAATGACTTTTCACGTTCTGCGAGCTCAATTACACCCGGCACGAACGTGTTCTGGGGCGCACCGTTAACGAAGGGCTCGCCCTCGAGGATGGCAGCAACAGCGAAGACAGTCGAAGGAGAGACCTCTGAGTGCGAGGTTTTGATAGATTTGAGGAGATTGTCTGCAGTGTCGTTCACGCCCGGAATGATGTCGCTGTAACGCTCTGTGTTGGCCGTCCAGAACACGACGATACGGTCAAGACCATGTTGCTGCTTGAATCGGCGGATGTCGGCGCGAATGTGCTCGAGGTGCGCCTGCTTATCGGTGCCGGGAATAACGTTGTCGGCACGCGCCTCCTGGTTAGCAGCGATGAAGTCGGGGTAGTAGATCGACGGAAGCGGCTGTCCGAGCGCTGCCATGTGTGGGGCGACCTGACGCTGAAGATCCCAATCGAGCACCTCGGCGCGCTTCATTGCCTCGTCCATGGAAGCACCGGAGATGTCCCAGCCACCAAGGACCAAGTCATTGGGGTGCACCATAGGGAGAACATCGGAGATGGGGACATAGATGTCTTTGCCCGTGGACGAGTCTGTGCCGAGGCGGACGGTGGACGCGCGCAGGACGGAACCGATATAGTTGGGCTGCTGAATGCCAGCCTTGGTATGCCAGGAAATGTTGTGGTGGTTGGCGAGGATTGTCGCAGATAAAGTGGAACCATTATTTCCACCCCAGCCGACCATCATCAGGCTACGAACAGGCCAGCTGTCAGCATACTCCTGCGACGGACCATGAAAGGACGGGAAACGTACCCTGTCTTAGAGACCTTCCTGACGGTCTGGAACTCATACTGCTCCAGAGTAGGGGTGATAAGGTATTGGCCGTTTGTCACGGATACGTCGGCCCCACGGTTGGTGAACTTGGAAGTAATGAACTCGTCCGAGTAGGAAGTCAGGTCAGACTGCACTACAATCGGATAGGCACGACGCTGCGCCGTCGGGTGCACGGGCAAAACAGACTCGAGCTCGGACTCAGGAGTGTTGAGACCAGAGGAGTGGGCAGTGTAAGAAGCCATACTTGAGGAGATTAATTCAACAGGGGATGTGAAAAGCAATTAATGGTGATGTAGCGAGTCGCCGCAGGTGTGCTTGGAACCTCTATGGGGATTGTGGGAGCTCCCTAGTTGGTTAGAGAACATACACTAAGTCTCTGGAAAGACTGAGCGAGGGTTGGGATTGAGAGACAAAGTCGCAAAGGCTTTATACGAGAGCGCGAGCGCGATGGTGACAGTCGAGGAAGAAAGGCAACCTGCAGAAAGAAGCAGGAAATGCGGGAATTTATGGACCGGGGTTACAATTTAGCACACGTTTCTGATCCATCGATGTAGTCGCGGCGCATGTTGTTCCGATTCCAGACGCGACACGGCATCGCGCATTTCTTTCGCTGCCACTTTTTGCTTTCTCAATTTCGTGCTTTCTCAAGTCTACAACGACCACTCGCACAGAATACTGCATATAAATACAAAGCTACTACGTTCTGAAAAAATGCCTGCAAGAATGTAGCCATGCATTCGCAAGAAGTACCAGCTCGCAAGTCGCGCAATGCGTTGTGCCGAACGCGACGCGTTTTAGCCGCCAACCCTAAAACTAGCGCGCACGCTGAGAACACGCTCTTCAGTAGTCATCGAACCGTATAGAATTCGAATGCTTAGCAACCTATGGCACAAGCAGACGTGCATCGCATGAGTAAAAGCACCGCCCTGCAATGAATTGTAGCTATCACCCTCAAATTTGCCGCCCCTCTTCGTCCAGCAGCACAAGCCAGTCTTCCATACTCAGTCAGCGTCCGGTCCTCGGGAAAAGATGCACTACCTGAAGAGATGTACGACACGAATATTTTGATTCGGACTGCCACCGATACTCGGGTCTTTGCTCGACAACTGCGATTGTAATGCGATAATATCAGTGGGGGCAGTCGACCAGACAGCAATCACGTACATGTGTGTCCAATGTCTTGGATCATTGACCCGAAAGACAACAGCAGGCAAAGCGGCTGCCAGCCCTTTCCTCCGCAAGTGTCCGACCACCCTTATCGGTGGCGTATTGGTTCAGTGTCGTATGGGTGGATAAATGGCGTCTGCCTCACAGATAAGGTTTCGTTGAGATGAACTTACGACACCCAAAAGAACGGACGTAGGGGCTTATGCTTGCGTTGATGGTACGCGGGTCTTGCAGAATTTCAAAAAGCCTAAAATGTATAGGACGGGGTTAATTGAATCGACCCGTCCATTCATCGGAGGAAGCCTGAAATACCCAATTCATCGACACAGGAAGACCGCGTCAAAAACAGCACCGGCACGCGATTGCTTATCCGTTGTCACCGGGCCGCTCGATATCAACGAGCTGTCGTGCTCTCCGCACAACGATCCGTCAATGCTCTAGTAGCTCGAGCATCTCGTAAGCCGTAACCTACGGATTGAATGACTGAGTACAGCTCGTGTGTGAACGTTGAATCGCGTACCATTTTTATCGCAGTCGGATGTGTTCGTAGCAGAGGGCAGTCAGACTCAGCTGTTCTTGCTGAAGACTCATCTAGGGATCATAAGCTCCATAAGGAGGAGCTGAAATGGCACCTGTCCGACGGGTCGCAAATAATGCTGCCCCACTGAACCTTCAATGAATTGCCCCGCAATTATCCGGGGTGCGGGCGGCCATCTGTGAATGTATTTCACATCTCCATCATCTTGTCAAGCCACACATTACTGGTAGGAGGGGCATCAGAGGAGCTGCTGCCATCTTACGATACCAGGTGGATATTCTGGAGTGACTCCCAGTAACGCTAACCAGTGCTGATGGCCCATGGGAACCGGGGCAACGTGCGTGGGGCGAGAGACGAGTACATCTTAGTCGTTGCTCCATAGCGTTGATACGTTGAGGTACATGTAATCCCAGCGCGGTAGAGCTGTATCTAGGTGAAAGGACCCCGAAGGCCTAATTCCCTATAATGTCAGCGGCAAGCCTAGACGCTAGAAAGTCGACCCCACTCACCGTAATATCCCACGTGCAGGGACCATTATCCGGTGATGTATCTGGAACTCCAATCCTAAAGCCGATACAGCTCCTTTGAGGTGGCAAGATGCGTGAGTCGGAGACCAGTCATCTATCCAGAGTCATTGTCACGCTTATAATTTAAGTAATCATTCGCGACGACATGAGACTGGGGTGTCCGTGACGCCCTCGAGTTACTAGAGAATAATCAACGCGTGGCACCCAACCAAAGAGACGTGTCCTTTCTACGTATTCGCATCGGCGGGATGCATCCGAGCCCCTCACGTCGTATGAGATACTGTCAATTTATTATCCTTCATCGATTTCATCTCGAGAAAGCCAGCACTGAAAAATTTCCTCCGGGCGTCAGCAAGACTTTTGAGTTTTCAAGCTTTGCGTACATACCATAATTTCAGTCTTCGTCCGCTCAATCTCATTGAATGCAATGGCACATGATCTAATTCACGTCGGACCAACAGCATGACCTCGATTTTCTGAGTTTGCTGAGATATCAGCGTGCGCAATTGCGGGAGTCAGGACTGGAACAGCTGAAGATGGTCACATTTTTGGACACCGACACTGCGAGCCGACATAATTCAAATATGTATATATCAAATCTGCAGAGGTGGTTGGCGAATCGAGAGGCCGAGTGAGACATAACGGGGTCGGTGACAACTACTGCTGCGCTATTGCTGCTGGAAATAGGCTCTCACCCCTCATTGAGAGCTCTGTCATAGCCTGAGCATGCAAAAAGATGGTCCTAGGTGATACAGTCATGTCAAAGGGTTGATAAAACAGTCCCTCGATAAAGATATTGATCCGGTGTGACACAGTGGATTTTGTCCATGGGCTACCGTTATGCTGCGAGTCCAGCACTTGTCATACGTGAATGTACATCAACTTGATAGGACCGGGTGTCGCACAAGTCCCAAGCGTACTCAGTAAGAATACAGTCGGAGGCCGGTAGACAAGCTGAGAGCGAGCTGAGGAGAGAATGGAATCAAGCGTCCAGAGTTTAGCTTTGCATGATAAAATATGTTTATGATTAGATTGACAGCTTTGAAGATGGCGAGATAACTACAACACAGTGGTACGCTATATTTGATAGTGTTCATTAGTTTAGCAAAACTCGTATATCGAATCTTTGTGACTCTGGCAAGTCTGTCTGCTGTCGACGTCGACCATCACATTCCCCTCGCATAGGCCATCCGGGACCGCCACGACCATGCAAGCCGCCCTATTTACCCGTTCTCCCATCGCTCGAAGGGTCGTAACCCATTCGGTTCGATGCCTGGCATCAAGGGCTACGCCGCCAAAGCCGCCATTGCAGAACACCCCACCCTCTCCAAATTCTCAACAGTCCTCGAGTCCGTCGTCGTTACCTAGCTTGGACTTCGCACCGTCAGTTGAAGACGAGCAGCAGCAGCAGGAGCGAACGGGTGCACGGTCATCCAAGAACTCGCTGTCGAGTATAGAGCGAAGACGACGGGTGCTCATTCGGGCCGCGCTTGGGGTACTCCTGTTGGGTGCTGGCGTAGAGACATGGCTGATGGGAAGGGAGTGGGAGGATCATGAACTAAGGGAGAAGAAAATGGTGCGTGTATCCCGTTCTCGCAGCCATATTCTTATCGACACGCGGTGCAGAAAATTGAGGATGCGCCGTCGACACGATGGGGTCGTACAAAATCTCGCTTCGGAGGTATATTCGGCGTGAGTGCTGTCTCCATTTTCATGCTGTGCTAGTAACTTGAATTCGTTCAGTTCTTCACTGAGCCGCTCTGGCCGGAGCTCTTACCCTCACCGCATCCGTCAATGCCACAAAAACCGTACACATTACTGGTGTCTATTGATGATCTCCTCGTAACCTCTATATGGGATGTATGTACTACCTTTATTTTTTCTCCGCAAATTATCAAACTGATCGACTCTGCAGCGTCAACACGGATGGCGAACAGCAAAGCGACCCGGCGTGGACTACTTCTTGGCATATATATCGCAATTTTTTGAGGTCGTTATCTTTACTACGCAATATAATTATGTAAATCACGGTTGTTTTGTCTCTCATTCATGTGCTCACGCGACCGACAGACAGGAGGACCGATAGCTGAAAAGCTAGATCCCTACCAATTCTTCATCCCTTATAGGCTCTTTCGAGATGCATGTCGATCTGTCAACGGACAGCCGGTCAAGGTACGACGTCCTCGTTCCTCTTTGACATCAATCATTGAATCCCTTTAGGATCTGACATATCTGAACCGCGACCTCTCAAAAGTGATTGTGCTAGACACTCACCCAGAACACGTCGCCCCCCAGCCCGAGAATGCTATAATATTGCCGAAGTGGACTGGTGATCCTAGAGACAAGGGATTGGTAGCAATGATTCCCTTCCTAGAATGTACATTCAGCTTCGTCCTTCCTGTTGTATTCTCTCTAACTGATGTCAATTACAGCAATCGGCATCTTCAAGCCGCCGGATGTTCGTCCCATATTGGAAGCATATCACGGCAAAGATATTCCACTGGAGTATGCAAAGAAAGAAGCGGAGATGAAGCGAAAGCACATCGAGGATTGGGAGAAGAATCGGAAGGGCTTCTCAGCGGGGTCATTCACGTTGAGCAGTCTCTTCGGTGGATCTAGTCAGGTACGCCTCGGGTCTCAAGTTTGATTAGTACATGCTCACTAACCATGTGTACTGATTCTATCCATGCAGGCAAACGCTTCCCCCATTCCGCTTACGTATCTTGAGCAGAAGCGGCATGAGGCACAGCTACAGTATAAAGAGGACCAAGCTTTCCTCCTTGCCAACAAAGACAATTTCGAACGACTTATCAAGGAAGACCAGGAGGCCATGGCCAAGGAGCTGGCAGGCGGCACTTTCTGGAACGCTATCGAGACTATGGTGCTCGGTGCACCGCCTAAGAAGGACATGACGCCTAGTAGCCAGTCGAGTAAGGACGCGCCATCGACGTCGGTTCCTGCGGCAGGCGCATAGCGTCCGTCCGAATACCATCTTATTTAGATATAGTACTACACCTGCTCGACATCGCTTTCGATGCTACTTCACTCAGGAACTAATGCCATGTTATCTTCAATAGCCCCCTCTGCACTTGATTAAAACCAAACTCGTGGCAAGGATTCACAGCTCGATAAACATTGTGAGAGTCACCATGGCGTATTTTGACCCCAGGAACATTCGTGGTCCAAGTATCAATAATGTACGTAGTTGGTGCATTCTATCGTGCTGATTCAATGGTTGGGAATTCTTGGTGCTTTTCATGGCTGAACGTGAACCGGGACATGACCCATGTTTTCACTAATACATTGTAATGCGCATTCAGCTGTGCATTTACCTAGTAAGTAGATTTATCGGCTAACTCTTACCATTTTTCACACGTATGAAGGCAGTAGTCATGATATTGACCAGAATCACCAATGCACTAAGAGTAGGCTGGACTATTGCACAACAATCGACATCGTTACATGACGCATTATATATATTCTGGCATACACAGCTAACAACTTCCAAACCCACTGCATATTGATGGCGATGGATGCACACCTGGGTATCTTACGAGTATCTTACTTGAATGGCTCAATGACAACAGCAGACTTCTGAGCTTCATGCTCGCTAGCCATCTCAACATCGCCCAATGCACCGCCACCAGAATGTCTGCCGTCACACTAGTTGAGTCGTTCTTCCAAACCATTAGCAGCCTCCATATCCTCGTCCGTATCCTTTGCCCTGTGAATACCAGCGCCGGCGTCCTTACCCAAGCAAGGATGTTCAGTAACACGCAGAACCAAGGCGTTAATAACAAATTTATAGATATTCACAAGAACTCGCGCTGGCATCTCGTCAATTGAGGGCACGGTGGATCGACTGTCAGTGATCTGTGGCATCACAACAATTATGCACTGCGCCTTGAACTGAAGACATGACATTCCGAGCCCCCCCTGATTTCTGGTATACTGTCGAGGACGGTCCAGCGAACCTCTTGTGTCACAAACCGTCAAGCTTGCCTGCAGACTCGCTCAACTATTTCTTCTGCGCAAGCGTCAGTCTGCCATCCTCTGCGGCAGGTTTTTGTGGCCGCCGGATGCAGCTTTGGTTTGCGTCTTCAACGAGAATTTGGATGTATCCGTGGCGGGAGTAACAGCTCCTTGCTTAATCTTTTGCTTCATCTCCAGCTTCCTCTTCCGGCTTCCTCTTCTGGTCGAAAACTTGAGTCCTCATGACATGATCGCCTTCATTGTCCAGCACATCCTCGCCGTCCTCGTCGTTGAATGCCTCCCTAGATAGAGAAGGAAACATCTTCCATTTTTCATCGGAGAAGCTATTAAGCCCCTTTCCAGCATCATGTACGGGATTCATGGGTGAGTTGAAAGCAAAAGAGTTACGGATCATGCATGAGCTTGAAGTCGCCCATGAAGTCGTAGGGCGGACTATACTCTCCGTCGATCAGCTTGCGTTTGATAGCTGACAAGCCCATTGGCCGCGTGATGCCCTTGTAATGCTGAGGAATCTGCTGTTTGAGCCAATCTGAATATTGATTCATTTGGCATAGCTTTGCTAGCCACTCACCGACCGACTTACAGAAATAACAAGTGGTATGATAAAACGATTTCTGGTGGAGATGCTTCAACACCGTCTCATAGTCCTTGAACTGCTGGCCATACATATCATTCTTGTTCGGCTTCGTTGTTCCCGCCTCTTGGGAATACCAGAATCCGGATGGTTTTGGCAGTGGCATAAGCTTCATGTGCGTGGCGAACATAGCCTCAACGCGTCGACACATAGCAGCGATAAGGTGGCCAGAGCCATCTAAGAAAGCGCAGCTGACGAATATCAGTCGTACGTCTGCAATAAAGTCATTGATGTGAGTGTAGTAAGTGTTTACGGCATTTTGGATCGGGCCTCGAAGGACTGGACTTGCGCTCGATGGTCGAGAATTCATGGTGTGCTTAACGATGGAAGGGCAACCTGGGGTACGTATTGAGCGCGACGAGATTGACCGGATGCAAGAAAGAGCGCGCATCCTTAACCTTCTTCAGCGCACGTATCATAGCCTTGCAAAACTACCACTGTACAGTCATCATAAAGGCCTTTGAACGAAGCGGCGAGGCCAACTTGCTTATGGGAGAGACCGACGCTGGGGACGAAGTACCAGCCTGCGGAACGCCGTCAGCGGTTTGACAGAAGGGCAAACTCGAAACGCTCTCACCTGGGCTGGCAGGCGGCCAACTCGTCGTGTCGCGCGTAAGACGCGTCGGTGATCTCCACCAGTGCTGAGGTCGACGACGAGACTGTCGTTGATGAGGATGAGAGAGGCAAGGACGCGATACGGCCTGGGCCGTGCGTGACTGCGCGTCGCGTTAGGTCGCGTTCGAGGGGACGCAGCACAAGTCCCATCCAATCCTGTTTCGTCTCACTCGCGCTTTGGTCTGGAGCTGTTAGCAAGGCCGTCAGCTCTCATATCTTGTCATTAGAGTCACTTGAACTCCTCGCATTGCAAGGATCGGCATAGAATGATATGATGGCCACTGAGTATGTACCAGGCCACGAGCACCACTGCAGATGGAACCACTGCCCGTCGACCTTTAGAGACAGACTACTGCTATTGGATCATCTGAAGAGTGTTCATTTTGTCAAAATCCTCGCCGTTGAGAAAAGCTGCTTGCCAGATTATATTCGAGCTAGTCACCAACAGAGTAATGCCACAGGTGTGCGCGTTCCCGTCCGGACTAGCCGTCCACTGATTTTGCCGTTCATGTTCCTGCCCCAGACAGCTCACCAAATGCTGTTCTTGCACAAAATATTCCCCTCACACCTTCGTCCAATGATATTCCGTCTCCAACTAGGCGTCCGTCCGAAGAGGATGTGGATGTAACGATGAACTCACCACCATCGCGATCACCTTCGCCTCCGCTTCCCGCGCTGTGCACTCCGCCTCGCAGGAGGAGCTCGTTTGCGGACTATACTGCCCAATCCTCTCCCATGACTACGCCCTCCCCCTCCCCTCTGCCAGACTCGCCTGCGATTGGAAATATGGTCGCCGACGCTATCAATCGTGCGGCCTTGTCAAACGCGTCGCCCATCCGTCCTTCCACCAGGGCTCGCAATCTGATGCAGAAGAAGGCGGTTTTGCGCTCTTGCAAAAAATCAAAACAGTCCCCACCTCTGCCACTGCCTCGTCGCAGCACAACCTCCCCGGAGGAAAACGGCACGAAGCTCAAATTCCCCTCGTGCCCGGGTGTGAGCCAGGATTCGTCCGCTTCTGCACGGGATATAGAGATGCATCTTACGCAAAACGTCGCTGCCTCACCACCATACTCGCCGGATCGATCTTTACCTACAACAGACCCTACAGACCTCACTCTGCCCATCGTTACGCAAGCGCCATATGGAAGCCAAAGTACGTTCCGAGACATTACATCTGTGTGGCTGCTGCAGTACATGAAACTTGCTTATCGTTCCCGGGTTTGTAGGTGTGACTCATTCGCAGACGTCGCAGACGGGCGATGTCTACCGCGGTTTCCAGTCTGGCAGCTTGAAGCTGACCCAATCCAACCCCGAGACGCTTGGATCTGCTGGCGCAAATAATGATGAAAGTGCAATTGATGCGGCGACGGAAAGTACCTCGCTATCTTTTCCCCGGACGCAGAATAGCATGTCGGGATCTCTCCATCTGCTCTCGCAAGCACCATACCCGAGTCAGAGCCAGAGCCAGTAACGGTTGCTCCTCCGCCCTACCGTTCAGCTGATTACTGACAGGAGCGAAACCCCGTTCCACCTACATGGAGTTTACTGTGTCTTTCACTTGTTTTCATGTTTTATGTCATAACGATCTTTCTTACTACAATCTGAAGTGGACCAGGCTCGACGTGGTGGATCTCAACAACAAACAGACGATCGGATGTAATGCTAAAGTTGTAACAGTTCAAGCTGTATTCTATTGATATCAACTTCTTCGAATTTTCATGAAGCCGCTGACCGTTCGCGTGATTACAGCTGAAGCTACCAGCCATTCACCCGCGCTGAGCTGTGTCTCGCCTCCCCTTCCCCGAAGTCCTGACCTAGTAGTCGAGTCATTTCCTCAGCATACAAGCAGTGTAGAATGCTACTTCTCATCTTCCCTCTTGCAGGTTCTATGTACATATTTCTGAGTGTTCGAGCGTCCAAGTCAGGATTAACGACGACTGTACGTATTTAAGAATGTCTGAGCTTCCTATGTCTTATGGGGCTGTAGCAACATCCAGGAAATGGGCGATTGAATTATGTATCTCCTTTATACCTGTCGCAGTGGGATGCAGCTTCAGCTATTGCCTACAGCCGGGCCATCGCATCAGCCTAAGAAGCGCTTTGATAGAACGTTAACGAGGCGAGAAGCTCAAGGCATACGAAGCCATGCGGTCGTCTGTATGATGGCGCAAACGAGCGCATCGTAACTGCTGACACTGGCCGCGAGGAGACGGGCCGGGCTGTGCGCCGTTCGGGCGAGTTCGACGGCGTTTGCTGTATCCTGCTGATCTCCGCATCTCGAACGATTGGAGTGCTTGAGCGATGTTTCTTCTGCATGTCTGTTGCAGCGGGATGCAGTCGTAGATTGATTCAACCATCGTTCCGAATCTTCCGTCCTGTCAAAGACCAACTAGAGTTACTTAAGGGGTAGTTTGATAGAATACATACGAGGCGAGGAGTCCAGAGCATACAAAGCCACATGGTCTGCGTGATGGAACTAAGCGGACACGCCGTAAGTAGCCTTGACGTAGCTTGGCCATTTGGGCACGCAGAGGACTTTCAATGGTAGAGTCAACAACGCGATAGTCGTGTTTTCATACAGGCTTCTGCGCCCATTTGGCGGCGTCCTCAGTCAAAGCGCATATATGCATCGATGTGAAAATGCATCGAGATACCATTTGGCGGGCATGGTAAACAGTGCAAGATAGCTTGGAAGGGTATGGAGTGCGTACCGAATGAATTCATATGGATATGAGTTCATCTTCTCAATGCTCTGACTTTACACCTCTCCGCACCGACGTGACATCTACACCGGCGGGGGAGAAAAGCCGAAAAACCTTCTGTCTGAATTCGCTGCAGACCGAACAAGATCTGACACACTTAGGGTAGTGGACTGCATGCGATATTATTCCTGGATTTACACTCGAGCTAAAGTAAGACGGACTTACCTGCAACGAGATTCTGAGCCAGGGTTCTTAGTCGCCATTCAATAAAGCGATTATCGGCGTGTATGTGTCGTTCAGCACCGGCACCAGCACATATTGAAGCGTCTTGGTGATCTTCTTTTATTACTCAGTGTTCATCCTCCTCCCAAAGGTCCTGGACGCCGAATCTCTTGATACATGATGCCAAAGTGCGAAGACCTCGCTGTCATAAACGAAAGGATATCCAGGGATGCAGAACGGAACAAAAGCTAGCTTATTGCTCAGTCACTGATCTCCCAGGGCCCAAACCACCCGTATGGACGACTATAGCTTCTCCGCGAACACCAACCACGAGGAGGCCGGTTGGATTGTGCGCCGTCCGAGCAAGTTCAACGATCAGGTGCACGAGTTTTCTGTGTCGTGTTGATTTCCGTGTCTCATATGTACACTTCAGACGACATTGGGAAGAGGCTGGGCTTTCGAGAGCAGTCGAACAATTGATGTGCCTGTAAAAGCTGTAACCGCGCTTTCTACGCGCTCGGACTCGGAATGCGCGCACACGCTAGAACGCTACGGTGCCGACCGGGTCACAGGCTTTTTTCCAGCGAAGGGTCTAAAATAGCTCAGCTGAAGCCGCGGCTTCAATCCAAGTCCGCTAGAAATACACATAGCAGACCTGAAGTCGATGTCCGAACGTACTGACAAAAAATCCAACACTCTTCAGTTACTCCTATTGACATCTTCCTTGTCATTTTTTGGACAGACAGGCAGTGTGTGCATGAGGCGCATGGCAAGCACGGTGCAGATTTGAGCTGCACGGACATGGTTACCGTCGCGTAGCGGGCCGATCAGAATTTCTGCGCGACGCCCAAATATTGAACCGCAGGCGTCTGCAGTATTTAAGGCGAACGCACCGTGTACGCCGTCACACCCCTTCTTCGTCCTTCCCGTCGACCCCAGCGGGACGCGTACTCTGCCGTCGGACTTGTCGACCTCGACATCACATTCGTTGCTAACCCTCACATTCGCTTCTGACGAGACATACTAATTCTGCCATGTTCTCTCTATCGCTCGTCGCTGTCTCGACGCTGTTCCTCGGCGCGCATGCCATCGCTCCTTCAAACATCATGCGCCGTTCTGGTGCCCTGACTTCCCTCAAGTACACCGGTGTAGGTGGATCAGGAAGCTACCCCCAGGTCACCAACATGTTGCCAGGCGCATGGCCCAGCTGTGATGTCTCTACTCCCTGTGTGCAGACTACGAAGGAAGTTAGCGGTGAGTCTTGTCAAGCCACATCGCGTCCAGCTATCTCATTGTCTGTTCCGCGCAGGTCCTCTTGCTCCGTTCGACGATGAGTTGACAATAGCCTTCCGGGGTCCCCTGAACCTCTACAACATTTCCGTCTATCAACCCGTCAACTCGTCCTCGGCGACCTGGACAAAGTCCAGCTCTTGGACTCCAGGAGAGGAGGCCCACAACCTTGTGTTCATGAACAACATGGGTGGTGGTGCAAGTGGCGAATTTACCAGTGCGTATACCATTTAGTATCTCCTTTCGTATGTCTCACTGCTATCTTAGTGTGCGGTGGCATGAGTCAATCTTATGCCAATGGGACCTGGACGGGCTCTGCAGCAGCCCCTACTACAGGCTCTGGAACCTTCCTTCCCGAGACGATGGAGATTGTACGTGTCTTCTTCGCGACCCTTGGCGGTTACTGACATCATTTGTTCGTCCTAGAACATTATGAATGCTCTGCCTTGCAATGACACCTTGGCATGTGATGGGTTCTGGCGTGGAACTGCCAACCACGGCTGGGCCGGTTCCAAGATGTTTGTCATGACCTTCGACATGCCCCCATCTGAGAACGCCGCCAACGTTCCCGCCGTCTGGGCCCTCAATGCGCAGGTTGTGCGCGCTGCGCAGTACGGCTGCAACTGCCGTGGGGGGGG